GCCCACCACTGTCTTAGACAAATTTAAGTATATTATTCAACACTATTACCTTCATCAACAAAATTTCTCTTCTCATCCCCTTTTTCAATAGTGAGATTATAGACTTTTGGGCATGTAGTAAAGTGTTCTAAATTATTCCTGGTTATTCACATTTTTCTGATTAAATTCTTCCCCCACTGATCTGACTCATAATTGTTTTCAATTTTTGTGAAATTGGCCCTATTAAAGCAATGGTATATATGTATTACTGGTCTGGACAGGGCCGGCCCAAGCCATTTTGGTTTTTCGGGCCCCAGGCACACTGCGCCCCACCTCTGGGAACATGGCACATGTGTGGGTCCACCCCCGGAATGCGTAGCCCCGCCTTTGGGTGCACGATGCATGCACAGGCCCACCCCTGGGGCACATGGGCGGACGCACGGCGCATGCACTGCCCAGTCGGCCCAGCCACTGCCGGCTGCGCCTGGCCATGCAAGGCCCTGCAGCCGTGGGGGGACGGGCACTGCTGGCCGGTGCTGTGGGGGTTAACACGGCCCCCGCCCTGGGTGGCTGCTGCAGCCCACCAGGAGCCGGGTGCCCCCCGTAGGTTGGCGCCCTGGGCAGCTGCCCGGCTAGCCCACCCCTTAGTCTGGCCCTGGGTCTGGTCTTTATTTTGCACATGCATTGTACGAATGATCATTTATACCTAAGCTCCATTAATATTTATTTCCGTTAAGGCGAGACATAATAGAGTTAACACATTATTGGGTTATATTAACTTTCTTGAAGCTTCCACATCTGCCTGTGAACCTTCACTTTAAGGGAGTTCTAAGAGAGGTTCTAGACTGGCTTCCTATGGAATCTCTCCTCAGTTAAGGCTAGATTGTGGTTTTTTAGGCACACCCCAGCAGAGAAGGCAAAAAACTACAGCACCCCTCTTTGGTGAGCACCAGGAGAAATCAAGGATTGCACTGTTTAATTAAATAAATTCTCTCAAGGTCTTATGGAAGAGTGGCGTCTGAGACTTCTGCTTCTCCTCTCCTTTGCTCCCCACCCTCATCTACTCAGTGCATCCATGTGAAGACCAGGAAATGTCTGGACCTTAATGAGTATTTGGCCAGAGAAACAGAGCTCCAATGCAAAGAATTACAGTGAATGCATGCATGCTATCTGATTTTCCAATGGTTTATATTTGAAAAATTAAAACCAATTTCTTGCAGAACCTCAAGGCATTTTTCCTTGACAAAGATTAGTTCTCTTCCCAATTTGCTTTTTTTAATCTCCAACTATTTTAGCACTAAAGGTAATCAGAAAAATATTGCAAGATTTTGCATTTGTATGGGAATATATTTTTATTTCCATTCTCCCCCTGCTGAAAAGTAGCTCAACCTTTTTTTTCTTCAGGTGCTAAAACTGAAGTTACCCTTTAGCAGAGAAGTCCTGGAAAATATCCTTTCAATAAGTGAAAGTTGTTATGACTGATTGGAAACAGGTTATAATGGATATGCCTAGGCAACCTTAATGATAGCTATACCTAGTGCTCTGGCTATAGTGAAACTATGGAAAATCTCTGGTCTTAGAAAATGCAACACAAGCTAATAATGTTCACAGTGAACTTCAATTTTTAATAACTTTTCTGAAAAATCCACACAGTAAACTACAGGGAACCTTATCTATGCCAGGAAATATGGTTGGATGGGATCCATTTAAGACTCTAGATAAACAGCTGCAGTTTCTAAGATGTACAACCGCCTCCATCATAATTCATTAAGTAGATACCCTGGTGATAAAGGTTGTATAAGAATCTAAATAAAATAGAATAGAATCAACACATCCTTAGTTTGATCTATAGATTATATATCTATTATACTGATACTTAAGAATTCCCAGTTCTCACTTGGAGGGTTGACAGGCTCTTGTTTAAAGATTAGGGCTGAATGATTCAAAGTATAATAATTAGGCACCCTGATGAGCACAACTGCAACTTTCATACTATAGGGACTCTTCTATATTAGCACTTAGTTTATTGATATACTTGAAGATTTACCCACCACTGCTTGGGTCCTTATTTTAAGTTTTGTTTTTCATTGAAATCATTGCTCTGAGGGGGAAGGGGAGGGGTTCAGTAGGCAGGCTATGCTGGGGAGAGAGAACTCTGTTCTGTTCTGCTCTGACACCACAGCAGTTTAGGGCCAGGTGAGAATCACTTTTCCATGGCCACTGAAGTTCCAGTGGCTGGGGTAGGGATGCATATCCCCCAGATGGTGCAGGTCCAGGTTCTCCAGCTCCTTGCACTCCCCAGCCAGAGTGAGAAATACAGCAAACTGTGCACTTCCCCATCATCAGGGAGTGAGGGAAACAGCCAGCAATGTTCCCTTATGAATGGGGAGGGGACTTCAGCCTCCCTTGTCCTCCATAAAAGGCACTGGGGGTAGGGGTAGTGGGAGGCTTGCGGCTGGGGCAGTCTCACATTGGGGGTGTGCAATGCCACCTACTAGCCCCTCTCACCTACCTGCTGATTCTATTTTCTATATGGTTTTCTGAGAAACAATCCCATTCCAGGCACATCCCAATTTCCTGACACAAATAAACCCTTACCTTGCTTTAAATTATAAGAGGAAGCTGTATACTAAATTTGCTGTTTAGAAGGAGTTCTTGACAAAATGGGTGGACAGACACACACACTATAGAAAGGATGTGGACACACTGGAGATGGTCCAGTGGAGAGTAACCAAAATTATTAGGAGGCTGGAGCACATGACCTATGAGGAGAAGCTGAAGGATTTGGGTCTGTTTAGTCTGCAGAAGAGAAGACTGAGGGGGGATTTGATAGCAGCCTTAAACTTCCTGAAGGGAGGTTCCAAAGAGGCTGGAGAGAGGCTGTTCTCAGTGGTGGCAGATGGCAGAACAGAGAGCAATGGACTCAAGTTACAATGAAGGAGGTCTAGGTTGGATATTAGGAAAAACTATTTCACTAGGAGGGTGGTGAAGCACTGTAATGGGTTACCTGGGGGGTGGGGGGTGGAATCCCCATCCCTAGAGGGTGTTACGTCTCAGCTTGACAAAGCCCTGGCTGTGTTGATTTAGTTGGGATTGGTCCTGCTTTGGGCAGGGGGCTGGACTTGATGACCTCCTGAGGTCTCGTCCAGCTCTATGATTCTATGATTCACACAAACTCTCCCAAATATATAACAGATTTAAGACCATCACAAACACTCGAGATGAGTAAGGTATATAGAGATACAACAGAAGTACATCTGAACTTTCATGTATTTAAGACCATCACAAACACTCGAGATGATGGTCTGCACTGGTTGCAGAATCTGAAAATAGCTAAAAAGCCCAGTGGTGAGGGTACTGATATAGGAAATGAAAGATCTTGGATCAAGTTTCTGCTCTGAATGAGGCAGAAAATCCCATTCTAGTTTATTAGAGACAGCTTCCATCTAACGGAGCCTAAAAAGACAATTTATTTCATGTTCCCATTGTACTTTTAAGTTAGGTTATGACTCTAAGAAAATACTTCTGCTCAATTCCCTTTTTTTCTTATTCAATCTGATTCCTTCTCCATGTGTAAACTCAAGAGTTTCCAACTCTCTGGTGAACTTTATGGAAGGAAACAGAACTTAAGATGCTTAAGATGTTTTCTTCCCAACTATGGAATTATAATAAAAAGGTAAAAATTTAAAATAACCCCATGCTCCTAAATATCACAGATGCTTTTTAAAAATTTTTACCTGTAAAAAATTTTGGACCTGAAATTTAAATAGCTAGGAAAAATGCATATGATATCTGTGAACATATCATACATACTAGTCCATAACCGTGCACATAAATCAGATGGAATCAGTGTGAGATCTAAAATAATCCATATGGAACAAGAATTGAAATTTACAAGTGAATACTATTAACCACATATTTTAAATATTTGTCTTGCATAAGTCTATATAGAGACTAATATGAAAGTGGCTCCTTCATATGTTACATAAATGGATAGTAACATATTACCACACGAGCAGTTCTATCAGAAAACAAATAGTTGATAAATGCTAGCTCAATACATACACATCATTAAAAAAATGAAACCAACCAACCTATAGAAATCACCAGCTAAGATTAGCTCCAAATCTTGTATCAAGCTTAACATACTATTCCTTAATATATAGTCATTAGATTTGATATTCCATTGCTTTACTACTTTAGTAATCATGCACATTTGGGCAAAGTGAATCCACCTGTGTAAATAACTGCACAATTTACAAGGTAATCAAGTACTAGATCGATAGAGTAGACTTTCATTTGCAGCTTTCCAGAAATAGTCTCTTTTGAGGAGAGATGCAGTATGGAGAATTTTAGCCCCCAAAGATACATTTCAATCTTAAATACAACAGTTACCACTGCATCTGGTTTAAGGTACATACTTACTTACTTTATGTGGGCATAGTAATAGAGATGTAGCCGTGTTAGTCTGGTCTTGCTGAAGCAAAAGACAGGTCTACGCAGCACTTTAAAGACTAACAAGATGTGTGTTATGTAGCTAGACAGAGAGGATACAAATGGAGGTGTACCCCTGAAGTCCTTTATTTTGTAAAATTCCTAGTGAAGCAGATGAGAATTTTGCCAGCATAAAGACTTTAGGATTGGGCCTATGTTTTTTTAAGTATTAAAGGCTGTCCATGAACAGATGCTGCTACTAAATGCTACTACAACACCGATGAACAGAAATGTGTCATATTTGAAAAGCTGCCTCTTTTATAAGAATCTGTTTTTATACACAGAAAATCCTACAGTTACAATGGAGTGTTAGAGTACAGTGTGGTTTTATACAGGATTTTTATATTTTACACACAAAGAAGCTGAAATTAGGATACTCTCCCACCCTCCTTTAATCTAGAATGCGTTTATGACAGTGAACAAGAATCTTGCTATTAGTTTACCACTTATCTTCATCAGTTTCTTAAATGACTCTGGCAATTGAGTCAAAGAGATTTTTTTTCCCCTCCCACAACTCCATCTGTTACCTGAATCCATGGCCATCTGTCATTTTCTGCAGCAGTCCAAGCATTTACAAGACCCTTCTTATTAAGTCGTGCATAGTATGGATACCATTTCTGGAGCCCAAAAAGAGCCCGATGAGTGGATGATGCAGTAATTTGTTGGTTTGATACAATTCCTCCTTCTATTCCCAAGGGGCCAGAGCATCCTGTGAATGAAAGAAATGATCAATTACTCAGATTGATGATTGACGTACATGGAGTAGTGGTTAATTTGTTCCAGGATGTTACTATTTCAAATAAGATGTCAGCAGAGATTTAAACCATCTGAGTAGTACTGTATTATCAGCAAATCTGAGCAAACATTCAACAACTGATCAAATTAACTTCACAATTCCTTTTTGTTTGCTTTCCACAAACATTTGAAAGTCTGCATTATGAATGCAAGTAGTCACAAAAATGAATTGCAAGCCTGGATGCAGAAATATTTACTAAAAACAAATCCCAAACTATATTACAGTAAAACTGGCATTTTGCCACTTTTACTGTGAAGGTTAATCCACCTAGCCAGAACAGTGATTGTGAATACTGTAATAGAATACATAACTGGAATTTTGTGCTGCATTGGTTAGTTACATAAATAACTTGTATTAAGTCAGGTACCTGAGTAGAGCTCTTTTGTAATTTATTGATGCAGCACAGGATGTATATTTAATTGCAATATTTACAGTTTTATTATAGACTTTTTCTATGATGTTCATTATCAAGATACCCAAGCACCTCAAGAATGTTAATGGATTTATCCTCTTAAGACACATATGAGGTACTGAGGTATTTGCACATGACAGGTTATGCAAGTCATTCAGTCAGGTAACAGAACCCATACCACATGTCTTACATGAATAACCAGCACAGAGAGAAATTCAGACTTCACAAATCATCTGCTGAGAATAATGTGCTGAAAAAAATTGAGACTAATTACAAGATAATGAGATTTTTACCTGTTCTAAAACAATTCACAAGGAGAAATTCAGGACATGAATTATTTGCTTAGCTCAGCAAAAGATCTATACATTTGTGGGCCAAACATACCTTAGGAATTTCAAACAGGACACACAAAACCATACAGTTCATACATTTCTAGGTTCTGTTGAAAGGTTGGCTCAACAGATCACCACCAAATTCACCTTGCAAGTATCTCAGAATCAGAACATGCTCAGTCAATTCTACATCCCTCTCACCCTAATTCTTGCAAGTGCCGAGCTAACAGGGACAAGGGGCTCTTGAAATATCTCAAACAAGCCTACAAAGATGGGGCAGAAGGACATGAAAATCAGTTAGCCTAGTGTTATCAGCCCCAGCCAATGGGAAAGCAGAGGACTCAAGCAGGAGGGGCCAGGTATATCCTAGCAAGCATGTCATCTTGCAGCCCCTCCTTGTTCTCCTCCAATATTCTGGTGACACATTTCCATTTCAATCATTAACTGAGAATGAATTACAAAGCATTATTGCTGTAAAATCCTTACTACATACTGCAATACAGCCACAAATAATTTAAACAGACAGTAGGGAAAAATAACTTGTAATTTGCTCTCTTTTCCCCCAAAGCTGAGGCAGTGAGACAGCCTTGGTAGTCAATGGTAGCATGTTCTCAGGCATTATTATGTATCACTGACAAAAAAGACAAATATAAAACAAACTGTAGCTCTAAGTTGACTCTGAGGTGAAGGTTAAAAGGATTCTAAAAATACTTTGTGGGGGTCCGTGTTCATTGTTTTCCAAATGACAAAACCTGTTCACTGCCTAACTACAAACGATGCTGGATGAAATTCTGTCTGCATTGAAAACAATGGCATTGACCTCAACAGGATAGGATTTCAGCTGTTATTTCTCACTGCTGGCCAAACAATCTGGAATCTGGGTCACATAGCACCAACAATACAGATTTTGCATTTAGAATTTAGTTAATAATTCTGTGGATGCTGCATGAATCAGAAGAAATTCAGTTCACTCTCCCACAGCTATATTGGCTCCACAGTGGAAAACAGGAGGAAAAAAACAGTAAAACCTTATTTTTGTCACTGACAAAGGCAGACATGACAAGCATAACTCATAAAAATGTGCCATTTTACACAGTAAAATCCAACTTGAAGATTGACGGACCCATTTCATCAAAAGAATTTTAGAACCCCTTTCTGATTTGTTATAACAAGTCCATTTAGTGTGAAAATTGTCACGCTTTCAAGCCTGAGGAAAATTTTGAAAATTTACTCAACATTAACTTCTGAGCTTCTTCATCAATTCATAATTCAATACAAACCCTCAAACAAATAGTTTAACAGGTTCCAGTTTCTATCAAAATTAGTCATCCATGAGAGCAAGTGAATAGTGGGGTGGGTGGAAGTATAAACATGAAGGTATTATTAAATTCTATTGCAGATTGGGTAGTTTTGCATATGGATATTGATCATGGAGTCTGAGGAGGAAAGCTAAATGTGCATCAAGGAGCCAATGGAAGTTTACTTGAACTAGAAGCTGTAGGTACACTATTACATTGGCAGCCTTCACTTTGATAAATCATTGCCTAATGACATGTGATTCTTTTTGCACAAACATGTTTAAAATTGTATACCCATGTTAACTTTTTCCCTTGCATATGTGAATTATGGGCAAACAGGTCATATCCAATCTCCTAGATCTGAATCCTTTCAAATTTTCTGGAAAAAAGGAGGATGTTGATTTTGTGGCTTCAGATGAAACCACTCCCCATGCATTTGAGTCTGATGGAGGCTAAACCTTCCTGCTTCACTTCCCAGCTTCCCCTATTTTAAGATTGGTGGAGAGTTGTAAGACAGGGAGATTTCCAATGCGTATTTTATGAGACTTTTGCTACTTCAGTTGTAGATGTCCTTCTTGTCCTTATAGTAAAATGGCATAGGAGAACATGCAGAGAAGCATGTTTCACTAAACAGAAAGTGTTCATATTGGAAGTAGTTTACCGTATAATAAAATGTGTATGTTGACTTACTACCAACAAGCTTAATGTGTGCTCTATTTTTCTGGTTAATGGTAATGGTACAGTTAGTATGTTTTTCCTCTGTTTCCTTGCATAGCTCTAGGGGCAGCATAAGAATAGTTTAAAACAGAAAAGACAATTATTATTTTATCTTTAATCTATCAGAAATGAGAAAAGGAAAACTGAAAAGCGTAAAATACTCAGTCTTGTGTGGAAGGAATCCCAAACCATGGGTAGTCTCTGGATTTTGTCCTCGGAAATGTGCAAACATCATAATGCGCTGTGTGATCATGAGAGTGAGGTGGCAAGGAAACCATCTTTTTGTTCTGTATTTACACAGTGCCTTACACAATGTGGTTCAGTTCCTGAGTGGGATTCTTAGGCATTACTGTAACACAAATAATCATAATAAAGAATTTTCTGAGGATCCCTTGTTCCCTTCTGGAGCAAGCATTTATTGTATGTAGTGGGTGTGGATCATTGTTAAAGGGCTCACATATTCACATTTGTGTGTGCAAATTGCAAACAACAACTGATTTTGCCCTGATGATGCATGTGTACTTCACTTCAGTTCTATTTTTACAAATGCAGTTTCACTAATACTTTTTTCCTCCACACCTGAAAGAGTTCTAGGGAGGAGCTCTGAGTACCTATCTCCCTAATCAGAACTGCCTCTGAGGGTCCACAGCCCTTCTCTCAATAATAGAGATGTCTATATTCTCTCTGACTTCCCCAGTGCTCCTGGGAAGTCTATGAGGGTACATCTACACAGCAGCATTATTTCGGAAAAACTGGCATTATTCTGTAATAATATAGTCCACATCCACACTACAAGTAGCTATTTCAACATAATGTCAAAATAATGTCAAGCTGAAGGACTTCTTACTGCGACTCCTGTAAACCTCATTTCACGAGGAGTAAGGGAAGTCAGAGTAAGAATGTTCTTCCTCAGACTTCCTACTGTGTAGACAGCACCAAAAACCAAAATAAGCTATTTCAACTTAAATTATGCAATTGACGTAGCTCAAATTGTGTAGCTTATTTTGGCTTTAGCCCTGCTGTGTAAACATGCCCAGAAAAGAGCTAGCAACATGCACAGTTTTTTTGCTTATCAAACTGTGTAGGGTTTTTGGAGCCTAGTTTGCTTTTACAGTTGGTATGTGTGAAGCAGTATTGGAGATCTATGTGAAATTCTAACGTGAGGGTAATTGAAGGCAATTAAATTACCAAGTACAGTACTTACTATGCTCCATCTATTACCATATACCATCAGAATTATATTTCTTCCCTATCTTTTTAGGGATTATGCCTAAAAAAATCACAGTACATTTCTAGATCCAGGAAATAGGTACTTCACTCAACAGGTTTCTTATTTTAATTCCACTTGTCTTGATTTGTCAAATTGGGCTCTATCAATTTGTTTAAGGCCATGTCTACACTTACAAGCTTATAGTGGACAAATGTACTGCTATAAGATCACTTGTGTAGATGCATTATGCCACAACATTGACAAAATTGAGCAACAGGACCTTTGTTGACAGGAAAGCATCTTCTGCAGACACAGTGCTGTGTGCACGAGACATTATGCTATGTTAAAAAAGGAGAAGGTACAAAATTCTGTTCTCAGAGGATATGTCTACACTTGCCCCCTAGTCTGAACTACGGAGCCAAATGAAGCATACCGAAGTTGCTAATGAAGCACGATATTTAAATATCCCGCGCTTTATTAGCATATTTGTGGCTGGTCGCCATTTTAAAAAGCCGGTATGCCGAATTAACTCGCTGTGTGTAGATGCAGTAGTCCGATCCAAAACTCTTCCCTCAAATTAACTGTTACTCCTCATTGCATGAGAAATAACAATTAATTCAAGGAAAGGGTTTTGGATCGGACTGCCGCGTCTACACACGGCGAGTTAATTTGGGCTACCGGTTTTTTAAAATGGCGACCAGCCACTACTATGCTAATCAAGCGCGGGATATTTAAATCCTGTGCTTCATTAGCAACTTCGGCATGTTTCATTTGCCTCCCTAGTTCAGACTAGAGGGCAAGTGTGCTCAAGTTCTTAGCTCAATTAATTTTGGTTTTTTTTTGGAAAGTTAAATGAAAATGTCCATGCTTTATTTAAATCATTGCTCTGGGGTAGGGCTGGGGATGAAAGCCACTTGCACTCCCTAGTTAGAGTAAGGAATGCA